AGAGCAAAAGCCCGTGAATCCCAAACTTTTGTTTCATAAAAGCCGAATGAAAAAGGGCTACTATAAAGTTGATTCTTGCGCTGCTTCTTCTCAGCACTGGCCCATTTATTGTCCCGAAGCAGTGGTAGGGTTGATACTGGGACGTACATATAAAAGTGCTTCTTAAAAGCCTATTTGCAAAAATAAATGAGTTTTATGAAAGTTTGTCAGCGCATGCTCCCAAGCTTATCATGAAGTTTGTGTCATGGTGGCATTGGCAGCTACCCTAAAATGATTGTGTGGAAAGGGATTGTAATAGTCAAAACTGTCTGGCTGATGTTAAAACAGCATCTTATTATTGCACATTGGTCTCTACTATCACCAAATTTATCCCTAGCAGTGCGCGCGACTTTGTACCGTTTTAATATTAAAACGGTAAATATTATTCTAACTATTTTTTATATACATATATTGGCTGCAGAACGCTGTTATATTATAACCTAGAGCAAGGGTCTCCAAACTACGGCCCGCGGGCCATATCCGGCCCGCTTCTGCCATCAATCCGGCCCGCGAGCGACCCTATGTTTGTTCGCATAGGTGGGCAGAAAAATTAAAACTGTTATGGACCTTGCAACATACCGAAAAAATTATTATGGCCCCAAGGCTTCAAAGTTTGGAGACCCCTGGCCTGATCCAACACAAAAAGATAGTAAGTAGGTTTTGAGTGAATGCGTCACAAACATCCATCCAACTTCACAAACTTTTACATTTATAAAGTAGGATACTCTATGAGCTAGATCTATAGGTACATATGACGCCACCGAAGCGCTCTACCACTCTCCAATTCCTCTCTCTGGTCAATACAAATAAAACATATATTTCGCTTGAATAACTTACTAAGGCTTGGGTCGGTTTAGACCCATGGGATTCCCTTGACGTGGATCATTAGGCCCTAGAGACCAATAAACATGGTAGAGATACGAATAAGTTACACTTCTAAGGGGCTGCGCAAATGTAGACACAAAGACCTTTATTGGTTGGGTTGGGTTATTGGCGGCTTTGGCGGTCAAGGTAGATCCTGGCTACACAGGAGTTGCAGCGGTGGGAACGAGAGGTGGGAATAGTCCCGTTAAAAAAATGATTTTGCTTCCCACACGACACACCAAAGTCAAATATTTTATTCAATAGGACTTAGGCCTTTTCCAGGGCGTTATACACGTCCTAAATATAGCTTGCCCTACCACCACTTCGGGACAACTTATGGGCTGGTGCTAAGAGCAATGAAAAATGTTGCGAAAACGGGAAAATTATTCAAACGATTTTCATCCACACAATCTGCATCAAATAATTTGTGACACCCAAAGTGGACAAAAAGTTGACAACACAACCTTATTCCAATTGTAACAAAGACGTGTTGCGAACTTTTTGGTTACTTTGGGTGTCACGAACTATTTGACGCTGACTGTACGTAGTCGCGGGCACGGCACGTATTTTGTATGCGACACAGGACACAAAATTGTCTACTCACTACTGTATACGTTTGCGAACAGCTTATAAGAAACTAGCTTTCCGCCCGCGGCTTCGCCCGCGTGGAATTTTGTCTGTCACAGAAAAACTTTATCGCGCGCGTTCCTGTTTCAAAAACCGGGATAAAACTATCCTATGTCCTTTCCCGAGACTCAAACTATCTCTACGCCAAATTTCATCCAGATCGGTTCAGTGGTTTAGGCGTGAAAGCAAGACAGACAGAGTTACTTTCGCATTTATAATATTAAGTATAGATTCTCAATAAATATTTGTATGCAATTTAGTGAAATCTTTACTTACTTTATTATTTCACTCTTAAAATACGAGTTTGGTTCATAATGTTTCTGATGTTCGTAATGTAACTTGATAGATTTGACCCAAATCTCTCCCCTTAAGCTATGAGACCAAAAGTTGTAGTTTATCTGGCAGATAAGTTCCTGATAGGTTATCAGGGACTTTGTTAAAACAGACCCTTGTTTCATAATTAGCTATGACCTAAACAAATGCATAGAAATTATTTAAATTGCAGTTTCTGTTCGTATTTTTTAAATAAGTTGTTTTAAGCTTTTGACTGAAAACGAATTTAATGCGAACTTTTCAAAATCTAGCCAAAACTGCGGTCAAAACATAGCTTAATAATAATGTATCCTTTCTCAGCTAAATTAAACAAGTAAATTATCTTAAATGTTTTACGAAATTCAGTTAAGTCAAGTGCTTATTAAAAAATGTAGGTAAAACTTTTCAAAATCTTATTAGTCAAAACAGACAAATCCTCGGTCCAAAACATAACTAATAAAAAAAACTTGTAATACATATTTTGTCATTTCTCAGTTAAAATAACGTAAATGAATTACGAAATGCAGTTAAGCTAAGTACGTTTACGTCATAGACTCAATTTGGTGACCTGTAAACTGTATATCTTCTATGACCTGGATCTACAGACTACCACTTAGTAGGTAAATGTCATCTTAAACCGAATTAGGTCATAGTTAATTCGATTTCAAGATTTTATCTACCTTTAAACTTTGTATTTATGTTTCTCTTTGAAGAAAATGCTTCAAAAATGTGATTTTATTTCAGAATTCTTTCAAAAAAGGTAAAAAAAAACTATTTGCAATAAAACCTCTTTGCAAAAAATTATGACATAAAGATTAAAAATAAAAAAATGACTTTTAAGAAACAAAAAACAAATGAGGTGCGAAAATAGAATAGAATTAAAACAGTTCAAAAATGACCACGAAAAATCGTTACCCACCTTCAACATAGCTTTTTGTCGCTCGTATAGCGTTTATTATAACTGCACTGTGGTTTTTTCTTCGTGCACATGTGTTGTTGGTTAATTTTCACTGAATTTTCTTTGGTATTTTGATATTTGTTTTGCAGGATTGTGTTTTATTGTTAATTTAACAGCGCAAGTGTCCTTGCTTCGCGGATCACACCCCAGTCATCGGGAGAGATGTTGTGTAGGGGACTATGGGAGGTGTGGAGAGGCGATGGAGATGTTATTTTTTTGGTGAACATTTTAGTTTAGTATGCATTTAGTGCTGTTAATAATGGAGTATTAACTGGATTTTTAGGTTAATATCAATGATTCAAAGTTGGTGTCACCAAAAAAGCACTACCTATTTAAGTCCAATAAAATAGGTATTTGAATGGCACGTAAACAACTAAGTAAGTAAACACCTTTAGGTTATAGTAACTCTACTAAATGTAGAGGTTTGTGTGCGAAATTCTCTATCAAACTAGGTCTAATTTAACTTCAGGAAACTTTAGTCATTAAAAACATGATTGGTTGCATTGATAATATGCACACCCTCACAAATTGTCACACATACGAGTATGTAGGCCCAGTTTCTAGTTTTGGCTTGAGCGTGCTCATCTTCCAAATTCATCTTTGAGTAGAAGATGAGCCAAATGAAGCTGGAAATCTCAATTCAAAGACCGGGCTATAGATACTCAAATTTAAAAAAAAATGAGCATATTGAAAACCTACCTACACTACCAAAGTCATTGAGGGAGGCCTATGTTTAGCAGTGGACGTCCAGTGGCTGAAATGATGATGATAATATAATGTTTTTTATTATATTACAAATACTTTTAAATAATAAGCTACTCCACACCCGCTTCTGTGCGGCCCCAGCATCCGCCTTCACCGCGCGTGCGCTAGGGATCGGCGCGCGCTTGCTACCTCCATGGAGTCGTTTGACAGATTCCTATATTGCTTTTTTTATTTGGAATGCAAAAGAATAGAACGCTTTCAGCTTGGCGAAAAAAAAAACTATGTAAACTATGTTTTTTTTCTTAAATTATTTTATTGAATTGTAGTTACACCTTTTAAATAATTTAATAAAAAGGTGTGAATAGCGGTAAGGGTTGCAATTTGCAATATTTTACTGTCCCTGAAAAAAACTTGATTTAATAATGTGGTTTAAAATTTCAAAAACTGATAGAGCTCAGTTCAGTAGAAATAGCATTTAGAAGCCTGAAAATATTATGTTGTAGCGCATTTTCTTTAATCTGTAGCTCTAATAATTAGTATAGTAATCTTAAAGATTTTTTGTATATTTTTTCGCAACTTATGTTATATTTTTGCAAATTTATTACTAAACATATTATCTGGTTTATATTTAGCTAAGTGCTAATAAAAGCCTTTTTGTAGTACCTAGTTTAAGATATCTTTTACAGACAAAAAAAATGTTGTGCTTTACACGATTTAACAACTTTTTGGCACAACTCCTTTCCAACTGCCATTATTCATCTTGACTTTGTATAACAATAGTTGAATCATTCGCAAAATATCCGGAAGCAATCCCTAACCTGAAATAAAAATACCAAAGTGCACTCATATTTCCTTTAAAAATGGCGACCGCTTCAAAAAAAGACTTTGAAATTATTAACACGTTAAAATCTTTAAACCAGCTATATTTTATGGCCACTAGCAGGCGACATTAAAAATCGATACACCAACCGAAAATGAGCGCCGAATAAAAACGTCCGAGGGCTTTCAACGCAACAAATTTAAAGGAAAAATATTGCCGGCATCAATTTCAATCCAAACACCAATAAATTGGCGTCTCTCAACGCAAGCTGAGCTAGACAGTGTATTAATAGCAGTACATATTTTCTGAAATCTCACCCTCAAGCAGTGTCGTCTGTGCCGCGCCGCGCGGCGCCTGAAAAAAGTTGTGCGCGCGCGTGACACCTGTCAAAATTGGCGGGAACCGCCATTTTCGTGCGGAATTGGCGCGAGACGCCATGTTTGGATTTGAAAAAAGTTTTTATTAAAATGTGCCATTGAAAAATAGTGCTACTAAAAGTGTATGAATAAAACGTACGTGTTAAAATAAGTGTGAGTTTTAACCTGTGATTAGTGTGGTAAATTACAGAAATACGAAAATACTGCTTGTGTTTTTATTACAACATTTTAGTAAAACACATTTTCAAAAGTGAATTTAACTAACCGGCCATTACAAAGTTTTTTGGAAATAATCTGCAGTTATTGTATCTAATAGTTTTTAATTAATAAATCCAAAATAGTATTTTAAACTCCATAATGAGCTACAGCGCAATTTACGAGAACTACGCGAGTAATTTCAAAGAGTTTGAATTCGAGAAAACGGACCGCGACAAGTCCGAGTGTTGTCAGGTGAAAAATGAAAGTAAACCTGCGGAAATCCAAGAGGGCGGCGAGGAGAAGGAGCCTCATGTGGAGCATGTGCTGGGGCCTAGCAGGCGATGCTTGGCCTGGGCCTGTAAGGCCTGCAAGAGAAAGACTGCAGCGGTTGACAGAAGAAAAGCAGCCACTTTGAGAGAGAGACGACGGTTAAGAAAAGTTAGTGTCAATTTGTAAGGATTTTCAACTTAAACTAGCACCTCGAGTTTTATTAATTAAATTAAAAATTGTTTATTGTCAAAAAGTTTTACACAATATTTGTGCCGAGGCTTCCCAGTAAGTAATCGGAGATACTTGTGTTGGGAATATCTCGCATCTTTCCAAACGGTAAACAAAATTACATCCCATTTTGCAAAATACAATTTGTAGAGGTACAAAAGAGTGAGTGTTGTAATTATGATATGTAAATGCATGCGAGTGTGTGTGTGTGTGCGTGAGTTTAGAAATATCGTTCAAATTCAAATTTATTTATTTCACAGAAATACATAGAAATACGTTTCCCTTATGTGGGAAAAGAACCCGCGACCTTTCGTTTGCTGGTGACTGCTCTGACCGTTAAACAAAAAGTTTAGTGTCATAATCTTTTCAGTCAAGATTATTATGAAAAATCTCAATCTCTCATTTTACTTACACAAAAAAACCGTACTAATTGTTATAAATGCGAAAGTAACTCTGTCTGTGTCCTCTTTCACGCCTAAACCACTGAACCGATTTTGATGAAAAGTATAGAGATAGTTTGAGTCCCGGGAAAGGACATAGGATAGTTTTTATCCCGGTTTATGAAAAAAAAATATCTCACGGGCGAAGCCGCAGGCGGAAAGTAAGTCTTTTTAAAACGGAGTTGAGCACTAAACACAGAATTTTCTAAAATTCAAAGGTTAATACGGGATTGCAACTTAGTATAGAGGATACCGAGGAAAGTTGTGGCACTTGTGGCATTGTCGATTTTTGGAAGAGCTCTCACATATTTTGGTAGTTCCAAAAAATCGACAATAATAAATAAATAAAAATAAATATCCTTGGACATTTTACACTGCGCTTCTAATCCCAAACTAAGCAAAGCTTGTACTATGGGTACTAGACAACGGATATAAACATACTTATATACTTTTTTTTTTGTAAATACATGCATATTATACATAGAAAACACCCAGTCCAATACAAACAAATATGTTCATGCACACAAATGTTTGTACTGTGCCAGAATCGAACCCGCTACCTCCGGAATAGTAGTCCGTTTCGAACCACTACACCAAACGGCCGACAATGTCAAACTCTCCTCTGAAATCCCTCACCTCTGTATCTCTTATGGAGGGCAAGAGCTAGTAAATAGCAATTTACATAAAATACGATCCTTAGCAATTTAAAACATCATCACAACATATATTTTCTTGATCTTCAAGTAACTAGCCTAGTTATATTTCTACTTAAATTACACATAATTATCTTCTGGTTAATTTCATCGCATATTGCATACACCCTGTACCTATAGCTTACCTAAATTTATGTAATCTTTACTTAGAACGTCGCAACACGGTTCAAATTTAACTCTTTAATCTTCGCTCAACGTAGACTCCGTTTGTCACGGCTCACGGATTAAAAGATTTGTCGCAAGGAAGCCATTTCTATTTGAATCTGTTTAGTAATATAAAGCCATATTTACCGACAAACTGAGGGTATAAATAAGTGTCTTTAGTTAAACTACTACGTACGTAGATCAACGGTGGTAAGAGACTTGGGTGTTTATCTGGATGCAAAAATGCTAATGTCTGATCACATAGACAGGACTGCTAATAAAGCCTTCCAAAGCCTGGGCTTTGTCATGAGATCATGTAAGGCATTCTCCAGCGAGCATACCTTCAAAACTGTTTATTATGCTTACGTCCGCAGCGTTCTGGAGTACGCTAGTGCAATATGGTCTCCACAGTATGCTATACACAGGGATCGCTTGGAACGGATTCAAAAACTTTTTATTAAACACCTTAATTACCGTCTTCGTGAACCCACATTACCGACTTATAGTGACAACTGTAAACAGTATGGTTTACTGACCCTTGAGGATAGACGCAAATTGACTGATGCTTGCCTGTTGTACGACATAGTACGCGGTGGGGTGGACTGCCCTGAGCTTGTGGAAGGAGTATCGTACTGCGTTCCGGCCCCCCGATCGCGCCGCCAACCACGTCCTCTTTTCAATGTACCGCACTGCAAGACGAGATACGCGAGCAATGCACCGCTATCACGTTTGCCGCGAGTGTATAACCAGTACTTCAGCGAGATTGACCTATTTACATATAGCAAGGTAAAATTTAGGTTACAGGCCATTAAAGTGCTAAAAGATGCCTGATCAGTGGGTGGGCCAAACACACACACACACACACACACACACGAGCACACAAGGAGCATAATGTGTATATGTTTTGTGTTTCATTTAATGTTTTAGTGTCAGCATAATTTATTTTATTATTTTTATTTATAGTTATGTGGTTATGTGGTTATCTAAACGATTCGACATTTCCAACTCAATATGATATTCTGTGGAAATCTGTAATTAGCTGTAAGTTTTATTCAATACTAATGTATAATATTACCATAATGTATCGCCGTTGATTTCCCAAATAAATAAATAAATAAAATAAATCGACAAAAACATCTATAGGAGATTTGTTGCTAAATAATATTGTCAGGCGCATCAATATAAATAACATTTTCGGCCGCGAACACTTTACAGTTTTTTCGTGACTCAAGCAAAAACGAGATTTATTGTCGGGACGTGAACGTATGTTCTCTGTCTTCGTGGTGTGTCATCAATCTTAAGTAAAGGCTTTAATTAAATTTGCCGCCGACGTTACCTTTTATGGGATAAAGAACTGTGTGTACAGTCGCCAACAGACAAAATTTTAGTGGCAATATCGCTCTTAATACGACTACATAAGATGCTACAGTGTTAACTTGATGTGCTATCTGTACTTAATTGAAAGAGCATTGTCGTGTAAAGGGAGGTGATAAATCAAAGAACTGAAAATCGCGCGCGCTAGCTATTTTTAGGAACGTGATGCATTCTAGGTATAATACGTGTTTATTATGTAAAAATTACTTGTTGTTTTCATACGTGTAACTACAATAAATAATGTTGTCCCGTCATTTGCACTAATTGCAGTTGTCTAGCTAGGGGTACCTATACTTTGCAGTATTTCTATTATTACCATTGTGGGTCCTTCTTACCCATGAGAAAAAAGCTTTTCGTAAACTTATGCAAAAGCAACTCGTAATTCTTAACATTTCGCGTCCATTTACGATAAGTATTTTATTTTTTGGTAGAGACAGGGTAATAAGCAACTAAACTCTACTTAAAACAGAACACCAGACCAGTTAAGTAAGCATACAATTTCAGGAGTCTTTCAGCGTCTTGGCCAACTTTTAGCTTGGTCCACGGGCCAAGTCACCGGATTGAATTTTTAAATATTTTTTCTTTCGGCAACTGGGCCCACATTAAAATAAAATTCTAGAGTAGATTTTTGTTGATTTTTGTGTTTGTTTATTAACCCTAGAGCAGTCGCGCCTTTTCGTGAAACGTGAGTGCTCGCGTATGAGCATTTTGCCGCCCAAACTTAAAGTCCGGTTGTGTGTCAATTAACAGTTTAAAAATATGAAAATCAATTAAAAATGATAGAATAAAGCATATACTATTAGAAAATGACGTTTATTAAAGATTGTGGTTAAAATTTAAAGAAAAAAATATATTTTGGAAATGTTAGGAAATATTTATAGAAATCTTAGAAACACTATTGTTTTTACCTACATACATCATCAAATATTAAACTTATTAGCACACTTAAAGGTTTTCCTTACATATGACATGTGCTTCAACAAAACAGGCCTGTCACCATGTGCATTTAATGTGCGTTGCACAGTAAATTTGCACTACTATTGCACCCTTGGCACATCATCTTCAGATTCTGCCGCTGATTGTTCTATAACAGTATTGTAATGACTATGTTTACTTTCTTTATAACTTTAGTATACATTTTCCACTAATTTTAGTGCACCAGTTTCTTCGANCACACACACACACACACACACACACACACACACACAAACACACAAGGAGCATAATGTGTATATGTTTTGTGTTTCATTTAATGTTTTAGTGTCAGCATAATTTATTTTATTATTTTTAATTTGCATTTCCAACTCAATATGATATTCTGTGGAAATCTGTAATTAGCTGTAAGTTTTATTCAATACTAATGTATAATATTACCATAATGTATCGCCGTTGATTTCCCAAATAAATAAAATAAATAAATAAATAAACTAGAGATTTCTGTCACAGAAAATCTTAGGCTGGGTTGCACCATCTTATTTTAACTATAACGAACGTCTAAAATCTGTCAAACTCCATACAAAAACACCGGTTATCGTTAAAGTTACGGTTAAAGTTATATTCCTGATTCCGAGCCTGATGATGAAGATCATCTCCAGGTACCTATTTCAAAATTAAAGATATAGATAAATGATAGACGCCCGTATTCACAATGCTTGCTTACTTATTTGAAGCAGCAAATCGAACGCACATCGTTGAATAGAGCTCTGTGATTGGTTCGTGTGTCACCCTATGCGTCCACGCCTATTGTGAGACCTCATAGTAATGTTTGTGAATACGGGCGTTAGTGTTTTGAAGGTTCATCTATTAGGTACCTACTCTTACCGTCCAAAAACACTTAATTTCACCTGCCAAAGCATCCTTTGAACCATTTAAACATTTGACACACGTCTTCCATTAACATTTCTATTACTGGCACAGAATAAATCGACTGAGCGACATGTATTCTGATTGCGTTTAAAGTGCTGCCCCCTGGAGGACGCCTGTCGTAACAAATTAGGGAGTTAATTGAGGTTTTAAATCTGGAAACGTGACACAAACTGTTTCTTTCTTCTTTAGAGAATCTTTTGTGTAGCTCAAATGTATTAGAAACAGCGTCAAATAGTTCGTGTCACCCAAAGTAGGTAGCCAAAAAGTTCGCAACACGTCTTTGTTACAATGAGGGTTTTCGCGAATGAAAAATCCGCCAGATGGCAATACATAGACGCGAGGTCCAAATGCTGCATGATTGGTTATTTTTGACATGACATTGACAGATATTTCAAAATCCACC